GTGAAGATGGGTGACTGTCTGGACAGGGCAATTCACAGATAATCCATTGCGAAATCTTTTTAGCTAGGTATGGCGTTTGGCCACCAGAGAAACACACATGAGGCTGAGAGGTTTGACTAGAGCAGGGCATTACTAGCCACACACAAGCCACTGTTACCTGTGCACTTCACACAGTGGGGAAGTGCGTCCTCTACTCAGGTCATCTGAGATCACCTCACGTTATCAACTTCACAGCCTGTATTAACCTTTACTGACTCTGTGCCTTGGTGTTTATGCAGTTGTTCATGTCAAGTTTAAGTTTAGAACTATCCACAAAAGGTGAATGGATAATACGTGCAGAAATCCTATGTGGAATAGCAGGTAGCAAATAATTAGGGTACTTGATGCCAGCAGACTGGTAGATCTTCCACCCAAAGGCTCAAAAATTCAACAAGTAGCACAAAGAACAATTTCCTTCTGTGAGAGATTTGAAAGTGGTTGAGAAATGCCTTCATCCTGAGAAAATACAGAAACATCAATACTGACACAAGAACTTGAGATGCTCTTGATTCCAAACGCTTACCATTCCATGTGCTTGGGAGAGAGCAGCCTGGTGATACCTTTAGAAGATTAGCCTGGAAAAAATGTTCAAAGTAAAGATTCAAGATTGGAACAAACCCTAATGAAGTTGAAGTATGTGAAGTACCTGGCAGAGAATTCAAACTGACTTTTGAAAAGATACTCAACAAGGTGAAGAGAGAAATATGTGAATGGCATGAGAATTCGAATGAGATATGAAATTTGGAAATTTACCAGGAAATCAGATCAGATGAGACCTACCTGAAGAATAAATAACTCAACTTAGATCTTTACGGGAGGGGTCTAACAGCATTTGGGATTAAGTGAAGGTTAAGACCAGAAAATGCAGACAAGCTGTCGAATATTGTTCAGTTAAGGAGCAAACAAAGAAAATGATGGGAAACGTGATGGAACCTTAGGGGGCTTCTAAGACACGATCAGATTGGCCGGCCAATGTCCACTCCACAATAAGAAGAAAGTCGAAAGAAGGAGGCTTAATCAAAGAAACAATGGTTGAAAACAATCCATATCTGGAGGCAGAAATTCAGGAAGCCTTAGAATTCTAAATAAGATGGACTTAAAGATATCCACATTGAGGTACATTACAATCAAGTTGTCAATCCAGACAAAATTCGATAGCAGCAAGGAAAATATGACCACATACAACAGGTTTTCCAGAGGACTGCTAGAACATTCCTTAGCCAATGCTTTGCAGCCAGAACAAAGCAGGATGCCATATCACAGCATGACAAACAAAGCCTGCCAATCAAGTGTACTATATGTACAGCCATATTTTGAGGTGTCATAGGCAAAGATTCCCCGTCATTCCCAGAAGACACAATCTTGCAGCAGATTTCCTGGTCCTCTGCTTCTTACAATCTTTCCACTACTGAAGATGTCCCCTGTGTTGGGTGCAGGTGTTGTTTTGTAGATGAATCCACAAATTGGATGCCTAACGAGACCCGAACACTAACAGGGAATGCTAACATGGAAGGCCACCACAGACACAGAACTACAGAAAACTAAGGGATGCTGAGAGAGGGAAAGTTAGTTTCCCCCAGGGATGAAGCTCTATTGGTTATCCAATACCAACTAGTCATCCCTGAAATCATACACACAAAACCACTGAATGGGCTGAGAATGTTGTATTTATGTGTTCATGCTATATATGCATATATGTAACAATAAAAGAGAAAGAGGCCATGAATTCAAGAGAGGGCTAGGGGAGCCGTGGAAGGTACCAGAGAGGGAAGGGAAGAGGGAATGAAATGATTATATTTTAGTTTCCAAGACATACAACTTTAAAATAAAAAAGAATAAGAAGCAGTCCACATTAAAAATAAATAAACAAAAGAATACTGTAGATGACGACATTGACCTTCAAAACTGAAGGCCAGCAGGTCTTTTGGGGCAAACAAAAGGTGAAGGAATGCATCACCTTGTTGATCTGCCTCATGAGATCACAGAAGAAAAGCATAGGAGGTCCAAACCTTGCTGAGCAATGTAGCATGAAGACAGAATATTATACAGAATGTTCCAACACTCTAATGGTGGTGAATAAGTCACTTTCAGGTCCAGTATAAAAGACAAAAAGCATTAAAAGCTATTATCACTATAAAATACATTAACGGCTATGCAATATGAAAATGTAAACAATGTAATCACTAAAGAATCAGTGTGGAGGGAAGAAAAGGTTATTTGTTGAGGTATGGTCTCACTTTGTAGCCCATGCTGGCCTAGAACTCACTGTGTTTCCCAGGGTGACCTCAAATTAATTCCATCCCTCCAGTTTCAGCCTCCTGGGGTCTGTGGCATGAGCTACCACACCCAGATAAAACTTTTGTATGTGAATAAAGGTTTAGTTTAAATGTGCATGGATTAAATGCTGTATGGAAAGACTCACTTGGAAGGTGGAGGCCGGAGGGTGGGGAGTTCAAGGTCTTATTGTGAGATAAAGAATTTTCTTCTTCAAGGCTGAACTATCTCCCTCCCCTAACTCTCTTGCTCTCTCTCTGTGTATGTAATTTAGAACTTACTGTTCATCAATGAACACCCAGGCTGCTCTCACGCTATGGCTGTTGGGGGTAACATTGGAACTGAATGGGAGTTCAGATAGCTCTGAGTTACCGATTCCATTGTCTCTGGGTGTGGCTAGAGAAGAGTGTTCTAAATCACACAGCGCTTTCATTTTTAGTTTTTACAGTCAACTCTCCTGTCTCCCATGCCTGTACTCACTTACATTCCTCCTCCAATGGTGTGCATGGGTTCTGCTTTCCCCACGCCGTTCAACACGTAGTTAATAAGTACCTACTGTGTACACCCTTTTTATAAGTTGGTCAACACAATTTCCTATTCCCACTCTCCTTTTGTTTAGTAGAAAGGATGCTCTGTCAAAGAAGGCAAGACCGCACTGTTAGGTGCATTATTTTGAATAAGATTTTATAGGGCACAGTAATATAAATTTTATTTTAAAAAGTACACTGTAATTGGGTCTTCTGGAATAGTTCATTGGCAGAGCACTTGACTAGCATGTGTGAGACACTGAGCTTGATCATCAAGACAACTCCAAAAAATTAAAATTAGAAAGTACACTGTAGTCAAAATGCATTGGGGTCTGCTAAAGAGGGAATGTGCATATGTACATAATGTTTTATGTTTCAGTGTTGTGTGATGCATGTTTGTGTGTGCATGTATGCTGGTGTGTGTGTGTATGTGCGCGCGCGAGCGTGTGTGTGTGTGTGTGTGTGTGTGTGTGTGTGTGTGTGTGTGTGTGTCTGTGTGTGTGTGTGTGTGTCTGTGTGTGTGTGTGTGTGTGTGTGTGTGTGTGTATAGGCTAGAGGTTAAAGTTGGATGTCTTCCTGGTCATTCCACCTTATTTTTAAAACTGTTATTATAACTTCTGTAACTATGGGTGCATGTGTATGTGCACATGAGTACAGAGTGTCTGGGAAGGGACAGGAGAGGACGGTGGGTCTCCTTGAGATGGAGTTACAGGTGGCTGTGCTCTGCTCCATGTGGGTTCTAGGAACCAAACTCTGGTCCTCGTAGCCTCTGAGCAGCTGTCCACCTTTTTTGTTTAATTTTTTTTTTTAAAGACAGATCACTGGCTAAACTTGGGGTTTACCAGGTGGCTGGATAAGTTGGCCAGTGAGCTCCAGGGACTGACCCTCTTGTCTCTACTGCCATGAAGATGCAGGCTGCTGCAGTTCTTTTTGTGGGTGCTGGAGTCTAATCCTGTGTTCTCAGGCTTGTGTGGCAGACACTCTAGAGACTGACCTGTCTCCCAGCCCACATTTCACTATTTTATAAGCTGAAGGAACAAAGTATACAGCACATGTTTCTAAGCAGTTCTTTGTTGTCATGACATGACTCCCAATTTGTTCCTCTGTTGTCAGAGTCACATCAAATGAAAACAATTTGAAAATTTTGAAAACTGAAATAACCATGTCTCCATGACAAGGGGGGCAATTTTCACTTGTTTCTGATAGGCAGCTCGATTAGAATTATATTTCAAATTCAAATGCACATTTTCTTATAAGACAAACCTGAAATTCATGAGTATTCTCAGAAAGGACACATAAGATTTGGAACCATTCATTCTCTGGAGAATAATATTGTTAGTTTCAAATGAACCAGCAATTCTGCAAACCTATGGTTGTTCCTCCAATGTGAATTCATGTCTGTGGGGAACTGTCTTGATTACTGATTGACATAAGAGGGTCCAGCTCACTGTGGGTGGCACTGCTTCTTGGTGGGGAGGGTTCTTAGGCTGTTTAAGAGGGTAGGAGTCAGAGTGGAAGCATGAAGCTGATGCATTTTTCTCCACTTCTGATGTGATATGACTACCTACTTGACTTTCTACTGTGAGTTCCCCCAAAAAGTTGCGTTGTAACCTAGATTGTAACCCTAAATAAATCCTTTTTCCCTTAAACAGCTTTGGTCAGGTAATTTGTCACAAAACAGAAGGAAAGTAGAAGAGAGACTGGGATCCCGGGTGCATGTGGAAGACTCCTTTGGATGCCTCCTTCAGCCTTGCACAGGAATTCATTAGCTGTCTTTAAGTCCAGTCATTCTGTAGACAGGGAATGTGTTTTCTCCTTCCCAGTCTGGGGGGAGGTCTCAGCTTGACTCAGTGAGGTCAGCAAAGGGTTAAGCTCTCTTCCTTGCAGTGAGCAGCACTTAAACCCAAGGAAACAGATCCCTGCTGAGTTGGTGTCTCCTTTTCTAACCTGAGGTTTGTCTTTTTGTTCTCTGCAAATGGGCTGGAATTGCGCAACAAGAACTCACTATGATCTTCTCTCCCAGATTGACTGATGTGCAATTTGGGAGTGTTCTCTTATGACATTTATGCTTCCATGTTTTTCTCCCTTGAAACTCATCCACAAAGACAAAATCAAGGCCTTTTGTCTGTTTCTTGGTTTCACTTGTCATAACAAGTGTATGGTGAAGACTTATGATCAACCCACAGGTCGATGCTCTAACTGGATTCCTGTTCGCTCAGGCAGCCTCGGGCTGAGGCTTGATGATTCATGCACTGGCAAGAGACATCAGTGAGCAAAACACAAAAGGAGTCACAGCAAGGTGGGTGGACTGACAGTGTGCCAACCGGCAGGACAGAGAGGTCAGAGGACGTGGTAATTATCCTGAGCATGAGTAACAAAGGCTTTTAGCAGCTGCTGTTTGCTTGACTTTATTATTATTATTATTTTAACTTGCTGTAACATACAGTTAGCTTCAAGCTGAGAATAGCATGTTCCTCAAATATTTCCTGTGCACAATGGGGTGGACCTCAGTGTCCTTTGGGGTAGCTTTTGATGCTTTCCTATCAGGGCCTGAGTTAATTAAGGACTAGAGTGACCCCCGCCTGTTATCACCTCTGACATAGGGCATGCTGCCCTATTTACATTGTGAGACCCTCCCCCCCCCCCAATCACTTTGATGGGCAGGAGGAAACAAAAAGATTTTGAGAGACATCTTCTGATTTTGCTTCTTCTGCTAGCTCCCTGTACTTTGAGACTTGTTGAAGAGATGTTAGGATGCTGGTAAAGTTTAAAAAATAGAAGGGCTGGATGTACAAGTACAAGGGCCCAAGTTCAATCTCTAACACTCACTCTAGGAGCAGCAGAATGCATTTGTAGTTACGGCACTGGGAGGTAGAGACTGGGGGACCCCAGAAGTTTGTTGGGCAGAAAGGCTTCTCTAGTTAAATGTGGAATGACCAGGTTCAGTGGGAGATGCTGTCTCAAAAAGGCAGAGTGATAGAGGGAAGCAAAGCCCCGAAGGCTCCACAAACACACACATAATTGTGTGCATCCACACATACGTGAACATGTACACCACACACAAACACATACACACACATACAAATACACAAACTAAGAAAACAAAACAAAATACAAACCCTAATAATTGAAAAAAAAAGCTTTAGAACTATTCATTTCTTTTGTAACTAAAGCACAGTAGAATAATCCAATGGGAGGCATCCTTCTCTTAGTCACTTTTCTAAGTTGGCCAATGCCTTCTAAATAAGCCATTAGAATACTCTGTGACTCATTGCTTATCAAACCCATATACTCAGGTTTTTCTTAGCATGCTGAAAGTCACACTTTACAATAACAGTTTCAAGAGAACTTCCACCTGCAGGCATAAGTTCATCTGACTTGGATTTGGCTAACATGTCTCTTTGAGCTGTTTCTGAAAAGTGCCCAAGTCCTTCTGCGCATATGCCTGAGGCTTGGCCTTCAGAAACAAAGGTTAATTTATAGGTGGCAATTTACCCGGTGAACTGAGGCAGGAACCTGTAGGAACAAGCTTATGCCAGTTTATGTTGGTTAATTTTGGTGAAATATCTCTTTTTCTAACCAGAGATAATAAGATACAATGATGATTATTCTAAGATGAGCATACACTGACTATTATTTCAAATGTGAATCACAAATCTCATCTAAATAAAATTAATTTTAATCTTAGGCTAGTTCTTATGAATTTGGTTGTACTCAACTAAAACAATCTTTAAAAACCAAACACTTTGAAAATAACCAAGTAAATTTGCTTTTATTAAATTAAAGTTTCTTGGTGAGTACATTGTTCTATGTTCTAAGACCAATGACTTTATTTTTGGGGGTACCAGTTTAGTCATTATCAAACCATGTGTGGATACACAGATACATTCTGGGTTGAAATATAAACATATTGAATAAATACCAATTAAAACATTAATCTGTTTCATAGCTCCATGCTTTAATAAGGAGGACACATAATCACTGTGCAAAATTAGGACAGAAATTATAAGACAGTAACCTAGGAAAAGTATCTCATAGCCCTATTACCCAGAGGTGAATAAATAAGTTGCTTTGGCCTAAGACAAGGCAGCTTAGATGCAGGCAGGAAACCCAAAGAGAGAGAGGAAAGAGAAAGGCAGAGTCTGGAGAGATGCCTAGCTGCCCAAGGAGAAGCAAGATGTCAGCAGACTGGTAATGCCATGGCCATGTGGCAAAACATAGATTAATAGAAATGGGTTAATTTAAGAGGAAAGAGCTAGCTAGCAAGAAGCCTGCCACAGGCCATACAATATGTAAATAATATTAAGCATCTAAGTGGTTATTTTATAAGTGGCTGTAGGACCGTGGGGCCGGGCGGGACTGGAGAAACCTTCCAACTACGTGTATTAATATATATTCTCTGCTTATATTTATTTTACATGACTGTGTTGTATTCTACTTTAGGGGGAACTTGAGACTTTTTTTGCTAGTTGTAGAAGCTGTGATGAGGTGAATGGTCCTCCTTTTCTTGGCTGTTACCTGTTACTGTTTTACGTTGTGCTATTGTAAGTGAATTCCACAGACTGGATAAGTTACAAACAATACACGTTCGCTTTTGGTTCTGGAGGCTAGGAAGCCCACAACTGAGCAAGTCTGTTGATGAGGGCCTTCTTGTTCTATCATAACATGACAAAAGGTCAAGGGTGCATCCCAAAGCCCATGTGAATGTAGGACTAGATTCATCCTATTCCAAAGATAGCTAACCCAGCCCGGTAATGATGGCATGCACCCACTCCTAAGGACTGAGCCTCTGTGATTTTAATCATCTCAATACAGCTGCGACAAGAGCCTGATGTCAACAGTGATTTGGAGGGAGCCTTTAAACCATAGCCCAAGGGGTAATGCCAGTTTGAAAGCTGTTTACTGACCTTCATCGGTCATGGCTTGCTCTAGCTACTGTACCAAAATGCCCAAGAGTGAATGAATGGCTTGTAAAGAGAATTTTACTCTTTGTGGTTAAGGCAGCTGATAGTCAAAGACTAATGTCTGAGTGTAACAGACATTATCACCTTTGTCAGGGCAACTGTGATTATCCACAGGAGACCCTCAGTAAGGTTTGGCTTGTTGACATTTTCTAACAGAAAGAAGAGTGTGACAGGCCACTACACCATCACTCAAGAGTCTAGCACCTCCATCCTGCACCCCTTCCCAGTGGTATTTAATAGTACTCCAGCTGCATGTGGACTTGGGAGTACTGGAGTATGTGGGGGGTGGAAGGGTAACTGAAATGGGTGTTTCCATATTTGAAAGGAAGTTTCCATCCATGATTGGTGGGACTCTGGTGACGTGACTGCTTTGATGTCACCCACCAGTGCTCCTGTGAGTGACCCCTTACAGGTGCTCCCATAAGGAAGTCTAATAAACTCACTGGTTTACCAAGCAGACCACTGGCTCATTATTCCTTTGCTCTGTTGGAGACCTATCTGCAGAGAGTAGACATTTGCTCACGTCTGCTCAGGAAAAGTTAGTGTGACACATCAGGTTCAATGTGAGGTGAGGTTCCTTCCTGGTTCAGAGACAGCATTCGGTCCTGTGCTCATGTGGATGAAGAAGAAGAATGAAGAATCTCAATGGGGCTGGTGTGAGGATTTGCCACACAAGCGTGAGGACCTCCAGCACACACACACACACACACACACACACACACACACACACACACACAGAGAGAGAGAGAGAGAGAGAGAGAG